AGTGCGGAGCGACAGACCAGGTAGCTTCCACACAGCGTTACGCAACCGATGAAAAGATATTGCCGCTCGACTGATTCGGAGTGAGACCTCTGCTGTTAAACTGGAGCCAGTCATAAGCACACTGCCCAGGTATGGGAAACTCTCCACTCTCTCCACAACTGCCCCATCACCGATTGGGAGTTGTGGGGGTGGAGTGTCCGATGGTACAAAATACCCAGGCAGGTGCTTAGTTTTGGTGGGGCTGATGGTAAGGCCCCACCTCTTAGTGGCACGCTCCAGTCTTAGCAGCAGCGTCTCCAACTCCTCCTCTGACTGAGCAGCTATTACCAAGTCATCAGCATACATAACGTGGTTGAGCAATAGGGAGCCATCCCTTGACCGCACCCGGGCATCGATTAGCCTCCCATTATATCTGTACCATATGGAGATTCCCCCGGTACAGCTATTGAAGGCTTCACGAACTACGTGGTCAAAATAGATGTTAAATAATGTGGGAGCCAGAGGACATCCCTGTCGCACCCCAAGGTGTACAGGGAATGGCTCTGACTCCCGGCCACGTAGTTTTACCCGGGCCCGCTCACCATCATGAAGGTCCTTAATGATCGTGAGCAGAGGGTCAGGTACTCCAAAAGCACGAAGAACGACCCAGAGCCCAGGCCTACTGATGGTATCATAGGCCTTGACCAGGTCAATAAAGCAGAGATGTAGGTCTTGTTGGAATTCCCTACACCTCTGCTGTAGCAGACGGACAGAAAATATGGCATCTGTGCAGGACCGCCCTTTCCTGAAACCGCATTGGGGCTCCGCAAGCCTCTCCTCAGCGTGCCTGGCAAGGCGGTGCTGAATAATCCTTGCCAGGACCTTTCCCGGCACACTGAGGAGTGAGATGCCCCTGTAGTTGTTACAGTCTGTGCGGTCCCCCTTCTTAAAAAGGGGGACCACCAGGGCATCCTTCCAATCCTGCGGAACCCGTCCAGTGGTCCAGCCTGTTGTTATGATGTCATATAGGGCAGTCTGTGCACAAACGCCACCCTCCCTCAGCATTTCGCTTGGGAGATCATCTCTGCCCGCTGCCTTTCCTGGTCTCAGACTCCGGATCGCCTGCAGTACTTCCTCAACAGATGGCACCTCAGCCAGCCACTCATAGGGGGTGACTTATTTCAATATTTGAGGCACCGCAGCCTCAGCAGGGTCATCCTCACTTTGTGCCACGATGTTTTCCTGGCTGAGGGATTTTCCCTCCCCCAGGACCTCACAGAAATGCTCAGCAAATCTGCGAACCTGTTCCTGGGGGTCGGAAATTGGATCACCGTTTTTTTCCCCTAATGATGGTAATAGGTGTGGCGCTGCAGGTTACTTTTTTGATGGAGTTAAATAGAGATTTGTGATCACGGGCCACTGAGGCAGACTCCATCTCCTCAGCAACCCGCGACCACCACCCATCCTTGCAGCGCCTCACGGCTCTCCGAACCTCCGAGCGAAGGCTGCGGTAAGCCTCCTCATTCTCTGACGTGGGATTCTGTAGCCGATGACAGTGGGCCTGTCGCTTTTTCTCAACCATCGTGAACAACTCCTCTGTCATCCAGGGTGTCTGGGGAGGTCTGTACCGCGTACCCAAAGCAGCCATTGCAGCTGCATGAGTCACAGTCCTAAACCTCGCCCATTTACCCTCGACATCAGGAGGAGTCGGGGACGATGCCAATCCCAGCCGCAAGCGATGATGAAATTCTCGCTTGCAACTTTCATCAGTTAACTGAGACCAGTCCACTTTAGGTTGGAATGGGGTCCTGGGTGTACACCCACCACCGGAGTGGAAGAATGGCAGGCGCATCTTACAGATGACTAGTCGATGGTCAGAGGGCAGATCAGCTCCACAGTAGGTCCTGGTGTCAAGGACATGGGCTTGCATTCGCTGGTCCGTCACTATGTAGTCCAGCAGATGTTCTTGCTTGGACCCGGCATGCATCCATGATGTTGTGTGGATGCGCCGATGCCGGAACAGCGTGTTGGTAATTACAAGCCCATGGGCTGCACAAAAATCTAGCAGCCTCCTACCGTTGTTATTGAGCTGATCTGGCCCATGCCCTCCAATCACTCCAGACCAGGTGCCAGTATCATGACCAACTCGGGCATTGAAGTCACCCAACATGATGACTCTATCCCGAGGGGCCACTTTAGCCAGCACCTGTGACAGGAGGTCATAGAAGGCATCTGACTCATCGGCTTTGCCTGCATCCCTCCACGGATGTTCATCTTCGGTGGGGGCATAAGTAACCACGACCACCATTCCTCGCCTCCGGTTGATGGGAAGGCGAGCCCAAAGTAGCCTGGGGCTTACAGCTTCCCACACCTCACCGCCACGCTCCCACGCCCCCTTCATTCTTTTGTTCAAAAGAAGACCCACACCCTGTTGTTTGGCAGTCTGCTGCCCCGAGTAGAGGACTGTCCACCCCTCATGGTGGCAGGAGCCAGAGCCGGTCCACCGGACCTCCTGAATGCCGCATAGATCCAGGCGGTACCGGTCCAGCTCCCGACAGAGGAGTGGCAGCCTCTCCTCTGCAGTGAGCGTTCGAACATTCCACGTGGCCAACCGTAGTGGCTTTTCGTTGTTTCTGGAGTAGCCCCGAGGGTAGGTATTCAATCTCCTGGCTCCGCCAATTGGGGTTTGGCCAGGAGACGTCATAGATGCCTGGCCCCCCGGGGCCTCCGGCACAAGCTTAGTTGTTACATATTTCAGTTTAATTCGTAGTTTCGTGGTAATTAATTGAAGGTGGAGGGGTTACCAGCCCCTCGCACCCGTCCAGAGCCCCCGTTTAGCCCCTGTGGTGGACACATATGCTATGAGGGGAGGAGCCAATCAAAATTGGATCTCCCCCCACAGCGCTGTCCACGACAGAGTTGCCCGTCCGGCACCGCGAGGAGGTAGGGGGTTGTTTTGCCGGTCACTCATACACTCACTCATTCACCCACTCATACTCTCACTCATACTCACTCACTCACCCACTCACTCATACACTCACTCACTCACTCATACACTCACTCACCCACTCACTCACTCATACACTCACTCACCCACTCATACACTCACTCATACAATCACTCACTCACCCACTCACTCATACACTCATACACTCACTCATACACTCATCATACACTCACTCACTCATACACTCACTCACTCATACACTCATACACTCACTCACCCATACACTCACTAAATCACTCACCAACTCACTCATACACTCACTCACTCACTCATACACTGACTCACCCACTCACTCACTCATACACTCACTCACCCACTCATACACTCACTCATACAATCACTCACTCACCCACTCACTCATACACTCATACACTCACTCATACACTCATCATACACTCACTCACTCATACACTCACTCACTCATACACTCATACACTCACTCACTCATACACTCACTCACTCATACACTCACCCACTCACTCATACACTCACTCATACACTCACTCACCCACTCACTCATACACTCACCCATACACTCACTCACTCACTTACCCACTCACTTACTCACTCACCCAGACACCCACTCACTCATACACTCACTCACTCACCCACTCACTCACTCACCCACTCACTCATACACTCACCCATACACTCACTCACTCACCCACTCACTCATACACTCACTCACTCACTCATACACTCACTCACCCACTCACTCACTCATACACTCACTCACCCACTCATACACTTACTCATACACTCACTCACTCACCCACTCACTCATACACTCACCCATACACTCACTCATTCACCCACTCACTCATACACTCACTCACTCATACACTCACTCACTCACTCATACACTCACTCACTCAAACACTCACTCATACACTCACTCATACACTCACTCACCCATACACTCACTCACCCATACACTCACTCACTCATACACTCACTCACTCATACACTCACCCACTCACTCATACACTCACTCATACACTCATACACTCACTCACCCACTCACTCATACACTCACCCATACACTCACTCACCCACTCACCCACTCACTCACTCACCCAGCCACCCACTCACTCATACAATCACTCACTCACCCACTCACTCATACACTCACTCACCCAGCCACTCACTCATACACTCACTCACCCAGCCACCTACTCACTCATACACTCACTCACCCAGCCACTCACTCATACACTCACCCAGCCACTCACTCATACACTCACCCACCCACCCACTCATACACTCACTCACCCACTCACTCACTCATACACTCACTCATACACTCACCCAGCCACCCACTCATACACTCACTCACCCACCCACCCACTCATACACTCACTCACCCACTCACTCACTCATACACTCACTCATACACTCACCCACCCACTCACTCATACACTCACCCACCCACCCACTCATACACTCACTCACCCACTCACTCACTCATACACTCACTCATACACTCACCCAGCCACCCACTCATACACTCACTCACCCACCCACCCACTCATACACTCACTCACCCACTCACTCACTGATACACTCACTCATACACTCACCCACCCACTCACTCATACACTCACTTACTATCCCACTCATTGACCCTGCCCCCTGACCCTGCCCTCTGACCCCGCCCCCTGACCCCGCCCTCTGACCCTGCCCCCTGACCCTGCTCCCTGACCCTGCCCTCTGACCCCGCCCCCTGACCCCGCCATCTGACCCTGCCCCCTGACCCTGCTCCCTGACCCTGCCATTTGACCCCACCCCTGACCCTGCCCTCTGACCCTGCCCCCTGTCCCTGCCCTCTGATCCTGCACCCTGTCCCTGCCCTCTGACCCTGCCCCCTGACCCTGACCCCGCCCCCTGACCTTTGACCCTGCCCGTGACCCCGCCCCCCGACCACGCCCCCTGACCCTGCCCTATGACCCCGCCCCCTGACCACGCCCCTGACCCTGACCTCTGACACCTGACCCCGCCCCCTGACCCCGCCCAGGTGAGGGAGATGCTCGCTGCTGAGACCGGCTTGAACGTGCGGGTGGTGCAAGTCTGGTTCCAGAACCAGCGCGCCAAGGTGACACACTGACACAGTGACACAGTGACACACTGACACAGTGACACAGTGACACACTGACACAGTGACACAGTGACACACTGACACAGTGACACAGTGACACACTGACACACTGACACACTGACACACTGAGACAGTGACACACTGTCACACTGACACACAGCTACACCGACACACAGCTACACTGACACACTGACACACCGCTACACCGACACACAGCTACACTGACACACTGACACACTGACACACCGCTACACCGACACACAGCTACACTGACACACTGACACACCGCTACACCGACACACAGCTACACTGACACACTGACACACTAACACAGTGACACACTGACACAGTGACACAGTGACACAGTGACACAGTGACACACTGACACAGTGACACAGTGACACACTGACACAGTGACACACTGACACACTGACACACTGACACACTGAGACAGTGACACACTGTCACACTGACACACAGCTACACCGACACACAGCTACACTGACACACTGACACACTGACACACCGCTACACCGACACACAGCTACACTGACACACTGACACACTGACACACCGCTACACCGACACACAGCTACACTGACACACTGACACACCGCTACACCGACACACAGCTACACTGACACACTGACACACTAACACAGTGACATACTGACACAGTGACACACTGACACAGTGACACACTGACACACTGACACAGTGACACAGTGACACACTGACACAGTGACACACTGACACAGTGACACAGTGACACACTGACACAGTGACACACTGACACAGTGACACAGTGACACACTGACACACTGTCACAGTGACACACTAACACAGTGACACACTGACACACTGACACAGTGACACAGTGACACACTGACACACTGACACACTGACACAGTGTCACACTGACACACTGACACAGTGACACACTGACGCAATGACAAACTGACACACTGACACAGTGTCACACTGACACACTGACACACTGACACACTGACACAGTGACACAGTGACACACTGACACACTGTCACAGTGACACACTGTCACAATGTCACAGTGACACAGTGACACACTGTCACACTGACACAGTGACACACTGACACAGTGACACACTGACACAGTGATACAGTGACACAGTGACACAGTGACACACTGACACACTGACACACTGACACAGTGACACACTGACACACTGACACACTGTCACAGTGACACACTGACACACTGACACACTGACACAGTGACACACTGACACACTGACACACTGACACACTGACACAGTGACACACTGACACAGTGACACACTGTCACAGTGACACAGTGACACACTGACACAGTGACACACTGACACACTGACACAGTGACACACTGACACACTGACACACTGACACAGTGATACACTGACACAGTGACACACTGACACAGTGACACACTGACACAGTGACACAGTGACACACTGACACAGTGACACACTGACACACTGACACAGTGACACACTGACACAGTGACACAGTGACACACTGACACACTGACACACCGCTACACCGACACAGTGACACACTGTCACACTGACACACTGACACAGTGACACAGTGACACAGTGACACACTGACACACTGACACACTGACACAGTGACACACTGACACACTGTCACACTGACACAGTGACACACTGACACACTGACACAGTGACACACTGACACACTGACACAGTGACACACTGACACAGTGACACACTGACACACTGACACACTGACACAGTGACACAGTGACACACTGACACACTGACAAACCGCTACACCGACACACTGACACAGTGACACACTGACACAGTGACACACTGACACAGTGACACACTGACACACTGACACACTGTCACAGTGACACACTGTCACACTGTCACACTGACACAGTGACACAGTGACACAGTGACACACTGTCACACTGTCACACTGACACACTGACACACTGACACACTGACACAGTGACACAGTGACACACTGACACACTGTCACACTGACACACTGACACACTGACACACTGAGACAGTGACACACTGTCACACTGACACACTGACACACTGACACACTGTCACACTGACACAGTGACACACTGACACAGTAACACACTGAGACACTGACACACTGACACACTGACACAGTGACACACTGACACACTGACACAGTGACACACTGACACACTGACACAGTGACACACTGACACACTGACACACTGACACAGTAACACAGTGTCACACTGACACACTGTCACACTGACACACTGACACAGTGACACACTGACACACTGACACACTGACACAGTGACACACTGACACACTGACACAGTGACACAGTGACACAGTGACACACTGACACAGTGAAACACTGACACAGTGACACAGGGACACTGACACACTGACACAGTGACACACTGACACACTGTCACACTGACACACTGACACACTGACACACTGTCACACTGACACACTGACACAGTGACACACTGACACAGTGACACAGTGACACACTGTCACACTGTCACACTGACACACTGACACAGTGACACACTGACACAGTGACACAGTGACACACTGACACACTGACACACTGTCACACTGACACAGTGACACACTGACACAGTGACACACTGACACAGTGACACTGACACACTGACACAGTGACACACTGACACACTGACACACTGACACAGTGACACCGTGACACACTGACACACTGTCACAGTGACACACTGACACAGTGACACAGTGACACACTGACACAGTGACACACTGACACACTGTCACACTGACACAGTGACACACTGACACACTGACACAGTGACACACTGACACAGTGACACAGTGACACACTAACACACTGACACACTGACACCGTGACACACTGACACACTGTCACACTGACACACTGACACAGTGACACACTGACACACTGTCACAGTGACACAGTGACACACTGACACACTGACACATTGACACAGTGAAACACTGACACAGTGAAACACTGACACACTGACACAGTGACACAGTGACACACTGACACAGGACACACTGACACAGTGACACAGTGACACACTGATACACTGACACACTGACACAGTGACACAGTGACACACTGACACCCTGACACACTGTCACACTGACACAGTGACACACTGTCACACTGACACACTGACACACTGACAAAGTGACATAGTGACACACTGACACAGTGACACAGTGACACACTGACACACTGTCACAGTGACAGTGACACAGTGACACACTGACACAGTGACACACTGACACAGTGACACACTGACACACTGTCACACTGACACAGTGACACACTGTCACACTGACACACTGACACAGTGACACACTGACACACTGACACACTGACACAGTGACACACTGACACACTGTCACACTGACACACTGACACACTGACACAGTGACACACTGTCACACTGACACAGTGACACACTGTCACACTGACACACTGACACAGTGACACACTGACACAGTGACACACTGACACACTGTCACACTGACTCACTGACACACCACTACACTGACACACCGCTACACTGACACACTGACACACTGACTCACTGACACACCGCTACACTGACACACTGACACACTGACACACCGCTACACTGACACACTGACACACTGACACACTGACACAGTGACACACTGTCACACTGCCACAGTGACACACTGACACAGTGACACAGTGACACAGTGACACACTGACACACTGACACAGTGACACAGTGACACACTGACACACTGACACACTGTCACAATGACACACTGACACAGTGACACACTGACACAGTGACACACTGACACAGTGACACAGTGACACACTGACACAGTGACACACTGACACACTGACACACTGTCACATTGACACAGTGACACATTGACACACTGACACACTGTCACACTGACACACTGACACACTGTCACAGTGACACAGTGACACACTGACACACTGTCATACTGACACACTGACACACTGACACACTGTCACACTGTCACACTGACACAGTGACACACTGTCACACTAACACACTGACACAGTGACACACTGACACACTAACACAGTGACACACTGTCACACTGACACACTGACACAGTGACACAGTGACACACTGACACAGTGACACACTGACACACTGTCACACTGTCACGCTGTCACAGTGACACACTGACACACTGTCACACTGACACAGTGACACACTGACACACTGACACAGTGACACAGTGACACACTGACACGGTAACACACTGACACACTGACACACTGTCACGCTGTCACAGTGACACACTGACACACTGTCACACTGACACGCTGACACACTGTCACAGTGTCACACTGACACACTGTCACACTGACACAGTGACGCAGTGACACAGTGACACACTGTCACACTGTCACACTGACACACTGTCACACTGACACACTGTCACACTGACACAGTGACACAGTGACACACTGACACACTGACACACCGCTACACTGACACACTGTCACACTGTCACACTGACACACTGACACACTTTCACACTGACACACTGACACACTGACACACCGCTACACTGACACACTGCTACACTGACACACCGCTACACTAACACACTGACACACAGCTACACTGACACACTGACACACTGACACACCGCTACACTGACACACTGACACACTGACACACTGACACACTGACACAGTGACACACTGACACACTGACACACTGACAGAGTGACACAGTGACACACTGACACATTGACACAGTGACACACTGTCACACTGACACACTGACAGAGTGACACAGTGACACACTGACACACTGACACACTGACACAGTGACACACTGACACACTGACACACTGACACACTGTCACACTGACACACTGACACACCGCTACACTGACACACCGCTACACTGACACACTGCCACACTGACACACTGACAC